TGAAAACTAATTCAAAAATGTGCCTGTAGTATATAACTGGCATTCATGTAACACTTTGTCGCTGTACATTAAAAAAATGTTTGCTGTAAGCTGTGATTTTATGCTTTATTCTTAGCCTTCCGACCAGTGATTGCCACAGGTCACGTAGCGCACAGCGTACGGGAATCATTCACAATCCCCATAGGCTAGGCCTACTTCTCTTTAAAAATACCATCGCTATATTTTACTCCCTTTGATGTATATTGGCTTAACCTCTCCGACATAAATGTTGGAACAGTGATTTGGTAAAAGAAATTTCACTTCTAAAAATACAGACACTGCAATTCTGATGTCGTTTACAACAGACATTCAGCGATTTACACTCGCTTCGGCCCTCTTTACAGTGTATTAACTTGAGCGTTCAAAACAATAACAAACTCAATACCGCATACAGATCACGTGACTGATAGGACGCAAAGTGTCAATTTCCAGCTGATCACACAGTTTACTGTTCAGTCAAGTAGAACGTGAGCGTCCAATCAGCGCTAAAGCCTGGCAGTTCCACTTGGTTAGTTTTCCGATGTTGTTTTATTAGGCTGCTTGCATGAGGTTTGAGGCTAGAAATATGTGATGATATCTCGCGAAAAAAGTAAGAATTCGGGATGGGCGGATATGTACGTTTGACGCTGGGCGGAAGGCATTAAATTTTGCTTTAGGCTGGGCGGTAGACTTTTAGGCAGGGCGGCTCCGCCCTGCACAATTACATCCCTGACCTCACAGTTTTTAACTTATATTAATTTTTTTGTTATTAATCATTGTGATAAAAAATAAAATAATATGTGTTAGTAAAGCCTGTTAATTGCTGGTGCTCTATGTTGTTTTTTAGACTAACACAGCTCCCTTGACTTTAGCATTTTTTAACATCATTCATTTGCATATTAATTACTATATTTCAGAAAAATGCAATGCAACAAAAAACAAAACTGTAAATATAAATTTGTGTTGAATTTTTTTTTTTTTTTTGGCCCACTCACATTGTATTTGATTGACACTGTTTTATTAGAAATATGCATCATTGGGCAGGATTATCAAAATGACATGCTTGAATGATTTCTCTATAACCTGTATTCTTTCAATAGCATTTATAGCATATTTTGTGGTCAAGTATTCTCTTGATCATGAACTTCAAAAGTGTTAAGACATTAGGCTTAAATTCAATAGATGAAGTCTAACCCTCCCACCCCCACCATAGGACCGGTCTGATGGACCGGATCGTTGGATCAAAAATTCAAAAAAATAATAATTTGCCTGTCCAAATAACGTTATTTTGACTGCCAATCCTTAATAT